CCAAGCACGAGGGCTGCGCACGCCCACCTCGTTGGCTTGGAAAAACTTTGTACCTATCCTATAGAGCTACTGAGCGGGGGAAGCATCCCCCTGCCCTCTCGACGCGTCGCGATGAGTGGAGGGCACGCGTCAACACCGCGCGCCTCCCATCGCTGTGCCACGTACCACGTGCTCTTTGCCGCATGGGCCGGGTCAAGCGTGAAGCGAGTGACGAGCCCTACGAGGATGCGCCTCGGCGCGTGCGTGGAAAAGCGCGGCAGGGCGGAGATACGAGTACGCTTCTTCGGCAGCACAAGATCCTTGCGACACGAGTTCAAGCGACTCCATGGCCCGAGCCCGGTCCTGCGACAACCGCCGCGCCGTGTGACGCAGATGACCCGACTGTGTTGCCGACGCTGAAAGCCTATGCAACGCAGTCGCACTTGCCACAGCGGACGCAGCTGATGGACATTGCATGGCGCCCCCCGCGTTCCGAGTGGGCAGCACCTACGACAACGACGCCAGCGTCCGACGTAGACGAGCCGAGGGCGGCGGTGCCCTTGATCTTCCACGCAGCGGGAGCGTCCGTGCCACTGTCGCCACAGCCCTACACGAGCGTACCACTGCGTATGTATATGCATCTAACCGCAGCCGACTCGACCAGTGCTACGCACCCGTGCCATTTGCTGGATGCCGGCGGCCACATTTACGATCTGGCATGGGCCCCCCAGGCTGAGCCGCAGGACGGAGAGTACCTTCTTGTTGCCTGTTCCCAGCATCGCGAGCCCAGTGCGCGTGTTGCTGACCCCTCCAATGGCGATCCAGGTCAGCTGCAGGGCTGGGTGTGGGACCCATCTACCGCGCAGGTGTTATGCCAAGGTCGATGGGTTTGTGACGCCGGTGCGCCCCTCCAAGTGGCATGGCGTCCCGCGCCGCCGCCGCCTGGCACGCTCGGCGTGGCCGCCGTCTCATGGAGCGACGGTACTGTCCATCTCCTAGCGATCCCCATGCAAAGCAAAGGCACCGAGCGCCTCGTGGCCGAGCGCGTGCTCCGAGTGCCTGGCACCTCTTGCTACAGTCTCGCATGGGGCGGCGATGCCCGCCTTGCCGTCGGCTGTACCAACGGCACGATCGCTGTATGGGACTTGGACGTGTCAGATACGCCTGTATGCGTGGCGCCTGTTCACGACACGACAGTCAGCGCGCTGAGCTGGCAAATGCTACCGCCCATCTCTGTGGACGGCGAGCCGCAGCTGGAAGCTCGGCCGCACCTTCTCTTTTCGGTGGGCTGGGACGGCTGTGAGCATATCACCGATGTGGCCGACATGGAAGCGCCGCTCCGGCATATGCATTCACGCGAGCCGCGGTATGCAACGACGTGGCTCCCATGGAGTGGCAGCTGGGCCGTAGACCTCGGCGATCACCAATTCGGTACAGTGTCGCTACGAACGCACGATATGGGCCGCCACCATGCGCTGGGCTTTCATCACGCCCGCGTCTTATGTATGGCCGCCTCCGCTTTGCATCCCTTCCTCGCCACGGGCTCCGCCGAAGGCAGTGTCAAACTCACGAGTGTGCTGGCCATGGCCAAGCGGAAGACCGCTGAAGAGGGCTCCCGTTTCATGCACAAGCTCTTCCGCCTCGCACGCGTGGACGATGGGTTCGTATGGCACCAAGGCTTTTATCCCGAAGGTGTGCTGCCTCGTGCGCCGACGCGCAAGAGTGGACCGCCTGTGGTGATCGATCGTTGGGACCCTCAAGTCGCCGTCACCAGCGTGGCATGGAGCCCGAATGCGGGGCGGGCTTTGCTACTCGCCAGTGGCACCGCCCTGGGTCTTGTACATATATCCTGGGCGGAAGGCTAGCATCTACTTTACATACAGGGGGTGAAACAATTGCACACGCACCGCAAACTGCACAGCACGAAGCACGACACGCCAGCGGCGCACGCGGCGCGGTGCCTCCGTCACACCGCCATACGGGTGAAGCACCGGCGCTAGCGCGCTTAGCTCTGCACGAAGGCGCTCAAAGAGCCACTCTTGATGGTGCAAGGTGCGGGCGAGGTACAACTTTTGGAACGCCAGGGCGCGGCGGTGCTCCTCGCTGCGGAACGCCTCGTCTTCAAGCGCACGAAGGCGCGGCGCTAAATCGCGCAGGGCAAGTGCGACTTGCTCGCGGATACGGTCGCCCATCTGGCTCTCCCGCTCGCGGAACTGCGCGGCTTCCGCCAGCATGGCCTGCTTTTCCTGCTGCAGCTTGCGCAGGTCCGATCCATACTGGTCCGTCTCGCTGCGCACCTCTCGCAGGTGCTGCTCAAACACGCCAAGCTGCTCCATGATCTGGCGGCGCTCCATCCACAGATGGTCCTTATCACCGCGCAGCTGGCCCAGCTCCGTTTCCTGGTCAGCCAGCACATTACGCAGGGAGGCCAGCTGCGATAGCTGCTCATCGATATGCGCCTCACACGCCGACTGAGCGCGCCGGGCTGCCTCGGCGTCCTGCATAGCGCGGTGCGCCCGCTCGTCGGCCAGGCGTAGCTGCTCCTCGAGAAGCACTTGCTGCTGCTGCGTCTGCTCATGCTGTGCTTCCGCCGCTGTCACTTGGTCACGCGCATGGACCAACTCGCGTTCCAGTCGCTGCAGCTCGGCGCGCGTCGCTGTGGTGTCGCCACGCTGCTCGCGCAGTCCATGCAGCTGCGCCGAGCGATCTGCTAGGTGGCTACGCGCCTGTGCCAACTCCTCGGCTGTGGTCGCGAGCCGCGCCTCGATACGGAGCTTGCTCGCATTAGCATCTGTCGTTTTGCTCAGCGCCGTATCCAGCTGTGCGCGCGCTGAGTGCAGCTCGGCTGTGAGCGTACGCACCGTTTGCTGCAGCGCCTCCATATCGGTGGCAATGCGTGAGCCGCCATCCATGGATAGCGAGGCCACCGACTGCCGCAAAGCATCCATGACTTGACCCCGACTGGGCGTCGAGTGGCGCCATGAGGGCTCGCTCGCTGTCGACGCACGGCAGCGCGAAGAAGGCGTCGTGGCATATGGCTCCTTCACCAGCTCGCGCATCGAATTGATCACACCATGCGCCTGATTCAGCGCAGCTCTTAGTGGCTCCACGAGACTGGCCAGCGCCGCCTCATCGCCCCGCACGAGCGCCTTTTTCACACGGGACAGGAGCTGCTCGTGCTGCGTCTGGAGGGTATCGGTCGTGCGGCTCAGCACGCTGGGCTCCAGGGGCTCCGCAGTGGTATTCGCCTGTTGGTCGAGTTGGGCGCGCTGCTCGGCCACCGTCGCTTCCAAGCTGGCAATGCGGCTTTGGAGGGCCAGAACCTCGGTCGACGCTGGCGCCCCTGGCGTGGACGCATCTCGTTCATCTAGGGGCATATTGTGCCGCTCAATGACTTGCATGAGTGCCTCACACTGGGACTTGAGCATCTCATTCTCCTGCGTTAGGCGCTCATTGACCTTGTGCTGGTATAGGACGAGGCGGTGAGGATCCACGTGTGCCTGCGCACCGGGGGCGGACGCGTCAGGCTCAGGCGCTGCCAGAAGCGGGTTCGTAGAGATCTCTTCCTCTTGCACAGAAGCACGCGATGCGCGTAGAGAGGAGAGGGGCACCGGTGGTCCATGGCTGATATCGGCATGCGTCGATACACCTGACAAGTCCAACGAAGGTGTAGTGGTTCGTGTTGATGATCGAAGACGCCCTAGATCCGAGTTGGACGTTGAAGATGCGTGCATAGGCGCAGCAGCAAAGGACATGCGACCTGGCGCCGGCGGATGAAGGGGCGTTGTGGCCGGTACCCAGGATGGTGGGGGGTTGGAGCGCGCGGGCGGGGACGATGGCAGGCGCGCAGCGCGGTCGTCCGCAGGCGCTGAGGAAAAGGAGATCGAGGGAGGAAGGCTCGATTTTTGCGCAGACACGGGCGAAAGACTGCGCGCGCGCGAGGTCGATGGAGACTCGGTGATGGAGACCGACGAATGGTCCAGGTCCTGCTGTAAGTGCGCGTATACGAACCGCATCGAAGGGGGGGCGCGAAACAAGCGCACCGGCGTCAGAGGTGCCTTGCGATAAAAACTGGCCATCCTCGCTTTTGTCCGTAGAAAGCTCCGGCGTATCCGACATACTTGATGCGAGTTCGGACGCGTGAGAGGCAGGCAGAGGCACAGAGACGGAGGCTGACGTATCCAGAAGCTGAGCATCCAACGCTTCCGTCGCAGCAGATAGAGCCAGTGGCGCAGGCGGCGCAGGCGGCGCAGCGCGGGTGGTTTGCTCGCTTGTGTCCGAGGGGCTCGGCAGACCCGTCGTCTCAGATATGGACTGCGTCATGGACGCATGAGGGCTCATCCCGGGCAGCGACAGCTGATCAGAGTCATCGTAAAACAACTCATGGTCAATTCTATGCTCTATTCGGGACGAGAGATCCAGGGGAAAGTCCATGTTCCTACGCCGGGGCCAGGCACGGACGTACGATGTTCACAACAAGCCCTACACACGCTCGACGCGCGTGGAGTAACAACACGTGACTACGCGACGAGGCACCCACCTCGCCCAGTCCGTGCTTGTGGCTTGCTTGATCATGCCAGAGGTCCAGTGGCGATCACCTGTGCGTGTGAAAGCGTCAGAGGCGGCAGACTCGGCATGGAGCGAGGCACAGGCGCCTCAAGTGCCCCAAGCGCCCAGCACGACAGATACCCCCGACCCGAGCCAAGGAAGTGGTCCATCTATGCCAACAGACAAACCTGAGACGCACCATATCAACGAGGCACCAGCAGCGCCCCGTACACACTCATCCCATGTCTATGCGGAGCAAGATACGGCCCAATGGAATAGCTTACTGCTATGGGCGCGAGAGCAGCGCGGTCCTCAATGGGATGCTAGCACAGGGTTGTACGTACAAAAAAACTGACCAGGTAGATGGCAAGTGCCGCGCGGTAGTGCGCTCTATTATGGGTAGGTGCTAGTATGCTCACCACAGATTCCAAGCGCCGAACGAGGGAGGGCCACCGCGGTAGATTAAAAAATCATGCCCGCACCCCGAGTCGAACGAGGGATCTTCCCATGACGTAGTGGAGTCTACAAGTGGGATGCGTTAACCACTGCGCCATACGGGCAAAACTGCAAACAGAGGCAGGATTTGCCCCTATGGACCGAAAGACACGTGAAGGCCGTCCACGCGCGCGCGTCGGTCGCGTCCTCCCTCCGCATGGTCACCACCGACGAGCCGCTGGGACTCGAGGAGATCTGTGAAAAGATCCATGCGCGTGCCTATACCAAGGAGCGAATCTCCTTGGATGGACTCAGTGAAAGGAAAAAGCAAACGCTCACACACGTCTTGCGCAGCCTCCTGTCGGAGCGCGACGAAGAGGTGCATGTGCGGGAGCAGTTGCTCGCACGAAACCGCGCTCTCGAGCACAAGCTCGAGCAAAATGAGCGATCTATGAAGCAAGGAGAGAAAGGCACGGCAAAAGCCGAGACCAAATGGCACACGGTGCAATCGCAGCTACAGTGCGTAAGCCCCCACTGACATGCAGGCAAGCACAAGCCACACTCGCTGACGAGCAGCGGCACCACCGTGCTACGCATGAGCAGCTGCAGCGAACGACGCGGCAGCTGCAGCAGGTCAAATTGGCAGCGACGCAACACCGGGCGGCTACAGAGCGACGCTCTGAGCGTCTCAGAGAGCGGTTGGCCACGCTCACGCAATCCCAGCTCAAGGTGCTGGTGCCTGATATCCGCATTGCCAGTCCGGCTTTTGTGGCGCGTGCAAGCGAGTCAGAGTCCCTTTCTATGGAAGAAGCACAACGAAAGGAGGCAGAGAAGCGGAACACGGCCTTGCTAGAGACGACCCTAGCACTCAAGCAGCTGGCCCTGGATGCCATGATGACTCTGAACGAGGCGGATGTGCGCCTGCGCAAGATCCTCGATGTGGAACAGGTGCCAACTCGCAGCTCGCTGCGTCGCTCGCGCACACGCGCCTCGCTGGGGGAGCTCGAAGTGCACGAAGTTTTTCCGCCGCTTCGCCCGCTGGTGACGGACGACACGGAAGACACGCATCCTGCGCGCAAAGCGTTGGCGGAGCTCACAGCTGCGCTGCAAACGCACGTCGCCGAACTCTCGCAGTGGGCAGCGTGGCGGCATGCGTCGTCAGGGAGCGAGCCTGAGGGAAAGCGACGCCGCGTGGGCGATGCATAGATGTAGACCTAAGCGACAGCCGGATCGTTCATGGACAGGAGCACAGCCTTGTACGTCTTTTGGTGAGGCTTGCGCAGTTTGTCGTGGCGCCGCCCGCGAGAAAGGCGCTGGAGCCACTTGATGAGATGGAGCGTGGGCATCATAAGGTACGACTCGAACACGAAACAAGCGGCCGTGTTCAGCACAACGATGGCCAACAGCTGCCAGTGGAACATTGGCGGGAAGTGAACGAGGCCCATCAAATCGAAGAAGAAGCCCGAACGCACAAACAAGAAAAAGAGCGAGAACAGGCTGAGCAAGGTCAGCGAGGCCATGAGCATCGGATTGGTATACATGGGCTGGCGGAACGGCGGACCCACGCTAAAGACAGCAGCCACGGTCAGGTACTGGAACGAGGACACGAGGAACAGCGCCGAGTTCTCCGCATTGACCACATTGAGCTCATCCGGGTTCACCGGCGGAGGCTCGTACCATGGCTGGCGCTGGGTGAGCCAAAAGGTCAGGGCCTGGAACAGCGAGCAAATCACCACTTGACCGAGCATGGAGAGCAGCACTTTTTTCGACACCAGGTTCGCGGTAGGCCGCTTCGTGTGCAGCGTCGGATACGGCCGCGTGCGTGCCATGGCCACAGCCACCGGTAAGATCATGAACAAGTCAATGTACAAAAACTGAAAGTCGCCCAACGAACTTGCCAAGTTGTACAAGATCGTAATGCTGGTGAACTGAATAAGACTGTACAGCGCCATGTACTTGAAGCAGCTGAAACTGGTCACCAGCGCTGCACGACCCTCCTTCATCACCTCAATCACACACGAAATGTCGGGGCGCGTCGACGTGAACGGCGCGGCGACAGAAGCTTCCGCCTCCGAAAGGGAAATGCCCATATCCGCCGCCTTCAGTGCACCACAGTCGTTCGCGCCATCCCCACACATGCCCACCGTGTACCCGAGCTCCTGCAGTCGGTTCACCAGGTCATGCTTCTCATCGGGTGACATGCGCGCAAAGATCACACCCTTGATGAGCATGCGCCGCACAAGCTCAATCGGTGCATAGTCAGTCATCCAGCGGAACACATCGCCGGTGATGGCCAGCTCGTAGTCGAACAGCTCGACATTCATCGGATCCGGATGCAGTGGCTTCAGAGTGTCAGGGTTCAGCTGCACTGCTTCGTCGTCCGTGCTGGTCCATGCGAGCAACACATCGGTCGGCTGCTCGGGCGAGCCATGGACGAATGTCGGCAGAAACACGGTGGTGGATGGGCCAAGAATACCACACTCACGCGCCACACTCACGGCGGTCCGCGGATTGTCCCCTGTGACCATCTTGCACCCAATGTGCGCATGACGCAGTGTAGCAATCGCCGGCGCGGAGCCCGCTTTCAGCTTGTTCTCAAATACGATCAGGCCCAAGAACTGCAAATCGCTCTCAGCCTCCGACCGTGCCATGCGCTGGGCTTCCACCCAGCCCATCCCTGCGAGGCTCTTGCCTGCACAGGCAATCACGCGGTAGCCGTGCTGCGTGTAGTACGACAGCAGGTCGTCAAAGTCGGCCGGCAGCGACGCCCGGTCGCAAATGTCGGCCAGGGCCTCGGGCGCACCCTTGACAAAGATCTCCATCGAGGACGAGTGCAGCTGCTTGACGACGACGCTCATGCGGCGAAGCGACGAGACAAACTCAAACGTACGGATGACACCCAACTCCAGGAACGGGGGTGGCTCATCGTACGTCTGCTCTGCATCAAACGCAGGGCCGCCAGGAGGACGCACGACCGTTTGTACCAGCGCTGGTGGGCGCTCACCACCGTGCGATGAGTGCACGGCATCCAAGCCTTCACCTTCATCGATGCGCCAGCGAGTGTACTCGAACATTTTCACGTCCAGAGGATCGCCAATCACCTCACCATCCACCACTTTGAGGTTGTGGCATGTGGTGAGCGCGTGGAGCAAGGGCAGCGGGCCATGACCTGCCGCAGGAATCTCGTCGACCGTCTGGTGCAGCTCGCTGAATTGGCCTGTGGTGGGGTCCACCGTACGCGCCCCCAGCACATCGAGGCCATCCTCCGTCAGCGTACCCGTTTTGTCGAAGCAGACGACATTGACTTTGCCGCCCATGTTCACACGCGTCGGCGAAATGCAAAAGACGCCTCGTTGGCGCAGTCGCGCAATAGCAAAGGCTGTGCCGATGCTCATAGTGGCAGGAAGCGCAGGCGGTACCACCACAGTCACCAGATCGAGAACACGAATGATGAGCGTGCTCCAAGCGATGCCCAGCTGAACAAACTTGACCGTGTTGAAGCACAAACCGATCAATGCAATGCAGCCAAGGAACCCAATGAATCGGAACGAGTCGCGGTAAAACTTGAAGCCCATCGGCTTGGGGAAGAGCATACCACGCACCAACGAGCCTTTGGTCGTGTTAAAGCCGGTGCGCACAACCATCGCCTTGGCCACCGACTCGTCCGTACCGCTGCCGCCCATCACAGGGCGAATCCGGATCACTTTTGTGCCTGCAAAGAGGAAATGCTTGGCCAGATGCGCCGCAAGGTCTGAATGGGTCGTTTGCAGCGTTTGCACGACGCGCTCATCGAGCGGCTGCTTGCTAATGGGCACACTCTCGCCTGTGAGCATACTCTCGTTGACAATGGCATCGCCAGAGAGCAGCACACTGTCGGCAGGTAGGACGGATAAGCCAGCGTCTGATGCATCGTACACATCGCCAGGCACAAGCTCGCTGCTGTCGGCCCACACCCACATGCCGTCCCGCAGGACACGTACCGTGCACACGAAGCGGTTCATCTCACGCATGCGCGCAATGGTCTTTTTCGTCTCCACGAGCGTGGATATGATGCTGCCCACAGACATGGCTGCAATACAAAACGCATAGTAGTAATAGTCGTCCAAGCTCCATAGCACAATGGACACGATCTGGAACATGTAAAAGGGATGCAGCACTTCGCCCACAAGCAGCTCCATGGTCGACTTGCCAGCAATCTCAATGACATTGAGACCAAAGAACACCTGGCGCTCGCGCTCCAGATCACTCTTAATGCCCTGGCGCATGGCATGAGTCGACACCCACGCAGCATCGCGCCAGTCCTGTATAGTGCGGAAGCGGCCCGTCGGAGGATGCAGGATGAACCGCCGGTACCGGTACTCGAAGAGAATCAGGTCCACCATCGTTTCCGCCTCCGGCTCAGGCGCATCATCGCTCAATTCGCCATGCATCATCGCCTGGGCCTGCGCATGCGTGCACGGTGGGTCCCGCGAGCTTGGTGGGAACACCGAGTTGAGTGGACGCGCAAAAGGCACGCTGAGGAACGACTCTTGCGACACATCTCCATATTGGTTCTCCACCACCACAAATTCGGCGTCGGCAAAGTCGGTGGACTGTGATACGTAGCGCAGGCGCCACCGAGGGAACCACAGCGATAAGAGACCTAGCACACCCAGCGACAGCACACATGCCACGATGAACACCATGTAACGACCTGGACGCGTTCGGTAGCCGGACACGCGGATGAGCGTGTCTTCGTCCATCAAATAGATCTGCTGCTTGGACCGGCACGTCTTATCGAGCCATACACTGTACCTGTGTGGCTCCTCCGCCGTACCAGGAGGGCCAGCGGGAGCCTCGTTGTTTTCTTCCAGCAGACTTTCCGTCAGGCCAGGATAGTCGCCTAGGTGCACAGGCTTGGGTGGCAAAGCTGGATCATCAAATGGCATGGCTGCACCTTCGTCAAGGCCCTCCGCACTGTCTTCTGGAAAAGGATCCGCATCGAAAAAGTTCGGGACAAAGTGGTGTGTGGGCGAGCGACCCTGCCCACTGCTCCGGCTCGATCGATCGCTGGTATCGTCAAGGAAGGGATCCTCCATGTCATCATCATCCACAGCAGTCTCATCGAGGAGATCCGAGCCATCCT